GCCCCCGCCCCGCCTGCACCCCCTCCACCAGCCGGGCCTTCTCGTCCAACTCCCTCCGCTCCCGCGCGCCCGCCGCCCGCGCCCGCTCCGCGCGCGCGGCCTTGTCCGCGGCGCCGGCGCGCAGCCGCGCGCGCGCGAGGCCCTCCCGTGCTTCTGCGGCGTTACCGGCGGCGACGCTCATTTCCGAGCGCAGTGCGTCGACGCGCGAGCGCTCCGAGGCTGCGTCGGCGTCGAGCATCGCCTGGCGCCAGGCGTCAAAGTCCCGGCAGTCGCGCAGCTCCGACTCGTACCTGCGGGGGTGGGGGGCGCGGCGCCGCGGCGCGCGGGGTGCTCGATGCGGCGATGCATAGCCCGTGGGCGCATGGCACGGTGAAAGGTAGCGAGAGGGGCGAATGATGCGGGTCGACACAAGGGGGAGGGACAGCACCATCACAGCCAGCTCCAGCCTGCAGGTCGGTTGGTGCCAAGACGAGATCCAGCTGTGTGCACCTGCCGCCCAACACCGTGCCCAGCGCCGGAAGTGCGCGGAAGCTGTTGCTGGCCGCACGCCGCGTCCCGCCCTGGCACAAACCCCTTCTCCTCGGCTCCCTACCGCCCTCTCGCCGCCCCTTCGGGCCCGGGCACACACAAACACGCTACACCCACCGCTGCAGCTCAAGGGCCTCTGCGGCCTGCTTCTTCCTGTACAGCGCGTCCTCCCGCAGCACCGCCGCCGCATTCAGCCGCACCTCCGCGCCCGCCGCCGCCCCCGGCGCCGGCGCCGGCCGCGCCCGCGGCCGCACGGCGAGCTCCTCCGCCAAGGCGCGCTCCGCCTCCTCCAGCAGCGCCGCCGTGTTGCTGGGCCGCTCGAGCACGCGCAGCCTGAACGGCCGCGCCGCCGCGTGCTTGCGCGCCGCGGCCTCGCGGTTCGCCGCGCGCGCGGCCTCGAGCGCGAGCTCCTCGCGTGTCGGCCCCTCACGCGTTGGCGGCGGCGGGCGCGCGCGCTGCGGCGGCGGGGCGGGCTCCGCCTGCGGCGGCGGCTTGGGGC